AGCTTCACCAGCGTCACCAGCGGCACGCTAGCGTACGCTAGCGGCACGCTAGCGTACGCCAGCGTTTCTCCAGCGTTTCACCAGCGTTTTGCTAGCGTTTGCAGCGGCAGGGGAGTAGAGACTATGGGAGAGCTGGAGGGTACAAAACACATCGATTGCGCGTCTCTCACTCGCCCTTAGTCTCTACAATGCACATCGCTTCTGCGTCTCCGACGGCCCCATAGTCTCTACAATGCACATCGCTTCTGCGTCTTCGACGGCCCCATAGTCTCTACAATGCACATCGCTTCTGCGTCTTCGACGGCCCCATAGTCTCTACAATACGCGTCGATTCCGCGTCTCTGCCTGCCACATAGTCTCTACTCCCCTGCCGCTGCAAACGCTAGCAAAACGCTGGTGAAACGCTGGAGAAACGCTGGCGTACGCTAGCGTGCCGCTAGCGTACGCTAGCGTGCCGCTGGTGACGCTGGTGAAGCTAGATCGATATGCATCCTCTCTTCGGCACTGCCGCTGGCGTACGCTGGAAGCGCTACGCTACGCTGCGCTACGCTACGCTTACGCTACGCTCTAGAACTGCCGACAAAGTAATAAACGGCAGCCTAGCAGTTCAATTTCAAGGTGACTGTCATGCCATTTATTGCTCTGGCAATAGGAGTGGATGATGTTTACGTAATGCTCGGTGCTTGGCAAGATACTCGGCGAACGCTTGCCCCTGAAAAGAGAATGGCCCTGGCATTGGAGGAAGCTGGAAGGTATGGAATGAGCTCGCAAATTTTGCAAGGATTCCGCTGATATTTTTTCCTTGCCAGTGCTATTTCTGTTACATCAATCACGTCAATTCTATCATTCGGTATTGGCTCCTCTCTCTCGACCTGCTATTTCCATCTTTTGCAAGTTCATTATGGTTGCAGTGGCTTTTGATTGGTTTTATCAGGTACTACTATTGCTTGTTTGCTTTCCTTTTCTCCGGTTGGCGATTCTTCGAGTGATAGACTTGAAAAAACCTCAACAAAAAAAATTACTTGGAGCATTAAGAGTAAAAAAACAATTGCTAATTGAAGGACTAGCTGGAGGAAATGAAAAGAAGCCACACTAAAAGATGCAAGCAATTAAGCTAGATAAGTCGATGAAGATGGTGGACGCACGCGCCACATGGCATTTTTCTCATGGCATTCTACAGTGAGTAACAGGGCACATCGTTGTTGGGGAATCCCCAATAGGGGGGGGTCGTATTTGGGCTGGGAAAAATTTATTTTGATAGTTGATTTTTCTCGCTTCATGGACGTTGTAAAGGGGGAGTCGTAATTGGTCATTTTTGAGAGGTGGAGGGGGAGAGGGGTCGTTGTTTACGTTTGGCGTAGGTGGGAGTGCGGTTGACTTTTTGGTGATTTCCCTGTCTCCTCACGTACCTATAGTCCCGCCTCCACTCGACATGCATAACTTTTTGGTAAAGACTAATAGCGCCCAGCCCCCGCTCGACGCTCGATTTTGATGACGAGGGACAAGGGTGAGGGGGAGGCGGGTCGTACCAACTCACCAAAAAAAGGGGGGGGGTCGCGTATAGGTCGACTAAAATGCTCTTCACAATGATCGCCATGTGGAGTAGAGTGCAGATGGTTCTGGCAATCAATAAAACCAAATCCCCGATCAGATTTTTCTTTTGGAATTTGATTTTCCCAGACAGTATTTCAAGAAGTACCTACAGATTACCTACTCGTCTAGTGGCTTGTGTTTTGGTTTGTGTTATGTAATTATGAAAACAGTGGAGTTGTGACTCACAGTACCTACAGAGTACATATTCCTCTAGTGTTCCACCTTCTTCAGCTGACCTTTTTTGCGGCTGTGATGGTGCTAGGCGCACGAAGAGAAGCTGCCGGATACCATTGTATTTTTGTATGGAAAAGATGTGACAAAAGCGAACGAGAAAGGTGAGTGTTTTTTTGTTTTCTGAAAACATTCTGTCCTTGTAAGAGCGGTCACCCCTGTCAGCTCACTCGGAAAATGTTACCCTCACCATCAGCCATGCATGCGGATCACGATAATCAGGGGTTCAAGCTAGGCCTTGTCGAGTTAATATTAGGTTGGCTAATAAGTAATGGCCGTTTTTTTCAATTGAAAAATTTGTTCGAAAAGTGAAACGTTTTGCAAGCAAGTTATATATCATCTGATAGGAAACTTCTCGTAGTATAAGAATATCAAAAAAGCTTTGGTTGAGGATATAGTTTTTGTGAATTTTTTAGTCGTTGAAGTTGGAAGTGAAGTCGGCGAAAATTAGCATCTTCGACAACTGCCTCTATTTAGAAATTTCAAATGGCCTAAATAGTTTGAATTAATTGAATTTTCAATTGATATTCTAAGTTTGCTATTATAAGCGAGTGTTAAGAATTGCTTCGCGAATTTTTTCATCTTGAACAAAATTTTTCCAATTGAATAAACGCCATTACACCAGCCCACTAGCAGTTATTAGCCAGCCCACTAGCAGTGGGCTGGCTAATAAGTAATGGCCGTTTTTTTCAATCGAAAAATTTGTTCCAAAAGTAAAACGTTTTGCAAGCAAGCTTAATATCGTTTAATAGCAAACTTCTCGTAGTATTAGAATATCAAATTCAAATTCAAATTCAACTATTAGCATGAAATTTCAGGTGGAACAGACGTGAGCCTGCCCAATATTGGCAAGGTGAAGGTTGCCAACTTTGAAATTCTTGAAAATTAGTTCCAAAGCGTCCTATTGAGATTCCCTTGCTGAGACTTCTACCTCAACCTTTTCCGAATGTATGGAGCAGCTTAAGCGATTTTAGCACTTCGAGTAGACGTAAATAGAGGCAGTTGTCGAAGATGCTAATTTTCGCCGACTTCACTTCCAACTTCAACGACTAAAAAATTCACAAAAACTATATCCTCAACCAAAGCTTTTTTGATATTCTTATACTACGAGAAGTTTTCCTATCAGATGATATATAACTTGCTTGCAAAACCATTTTCACTTAATTTCGATAACAAATTTTCAATTGCGAACAAAACGTCCATTACTTGATTAGCCAACCCTAGTACTCCTTCTCAACTCACGCAGGCGTGTGAAGCGAGGCGACTAAGGACGACTAGCATAGTTTATAAAAAAACCTCTAAAGGCAGAAGTCCTAGAAGTTCATAAGAAAGACTGCTAAGGTAAGTCCTAAGTCTGGAGAGTCATAAGTGCGCGGCTTATGTAAGCTGGTTCCCTGTCAAGGTTTGCTCAGTTTGTTGTAGAACAGCTTCTGATGTCATTTTGTGAGATTCTGTAGTTTTCCAACGAAGAACTGCTATCCACCACGCACGGCACTGTCTGGGATTTTCCAGGGATGCGAGATGTTTTTCTGGATGAATAATGAATTTTGATACAGTAGCCATCGATTATTCCAATCGATGGCTATTCTTATATTATCCACATTGGACCTTCCCTTTAGAAGCAGAATTCTAAATGCAGGATAGGACATCCCAAGCTACCTCAAAATCAATTTGTAAACCATCTGTCATAAGCAGTTGTAGCATTTCACTTTGGTAGTGTATGCGCTCACAGCCTATCTTCATAATTCTGATTTGCGGGTCACGTAAATGTATAGAGAGCGAGTGGAGAAGGTGTTGTAGTGGCGCGGTGGAAACGTTTTACAGCACCGCGAACGGACGGGAAGTCAAAACCCGGAATCAAGTTTCGCACAGAACGCAAGCCTTTTACCGTCCTCAGATGGAAATCGGAAAACCCGATTCGTCTGGGAGGTATAACAACACTGCCTGTCCATCAGGCTGGCTACCGCAAGTCATTGTATAGGCCACATCGCATTCAATGAGCCGTACCATTCTGAATGGAAGTAAAATGCGCGCCGCATCCCAGAAAAGGTCTAATAAACGGCGACGTCTTTATCCTTTATCCTTTATGTAGACCATTGAAATAAGAAAATGATGCGAAAAAAATCACAGCCAGCCGAGAAAGTTATTACTTCGACACCGGATTCCAAAGGCTCAAATCTTGCGGACACTCAGCCTTCACCATCGAAAACATTTCTTCAGTAACCATATATCGCCCCAACATTGCAATCCAGTGACCAGGATCATAATTGTGAGTTATTTCTTGGTATACTCAACCTCACGGAGAAGGGTAGGCAGGCCAAAAATTTCTCTCATAGAAAGAGTGTTTTTCGGACGGTCGTTCGATAAAATGTAGAAGACAGCGTCTACAGATAGGCTATGCTGGGTAGCCTTACTGTGCTATGTACATAGTATTGAAGTTCTCGTTTTCAAGTTCGGCTTTGGGGGGGGGGGAAGCGTTCCACACTTTCGCTACTTTCATTGTCGTTAATTACTTGACAAGATTTGACAGATATTCTTTACAAGAGTTTACAAGTGGTCTCTAAAACTTTGACCACGTATCACGTCATGGTTTCACAAGAGTCATGGCTTCACAAGATGTCACAGGTAATCTATGATGCCTCAACACGGCTATGGAAAGTGGCGCAAGTGTAGATTGCCCAACCCCCTCCATGCCTCCCCGCCAAGCCAGACTGTGGCAACTTCTCTTACAATTTACAATAGTTACGCTTCTGTTTGTGTAATCTTTTTATCTTCTTCCGCTTCTTCCACGTGCATGTTCCGACTCCTTTTCTCCACCAGCCACCACTAGCGTTTCGAGCGTATTTTCGAACTATTTCCATTGTTCTAGATTGTCGTCTATGGGGTGTACGTGCTGTTGGCATTTTACGGATGTTCGCAGTTGGAGCCGAACTTGACACCGTCTCGTCTGGTGGTCGACGACTCTCCTATAGTGCATTATCTACACCTGGCAGAAAACAAAATATGGGCAGAAGGTCTTATTGGTAGAGTCTACGTGAACAGAGCTCCAGACATTAAAAATCCTCGTGAGGTATGAATGATCAGCAACTTCCGCGTGCAAAATATGGCTAACGTTTTAAAGTTATTCATCCCTACGATATAAATAACGCTGTGCAGTAAGAGTGAAAACATATGGCCTTCTATTTCATTTTTCTCACCTCTCGCAGTTTTTCTCAGTAGAAACATGAAATGAGGTTGTGGCTGTCAGTTGCTAATAATCGACTAGGAGGTCTCCTTTGCAGGTTGAGCGAATGCTAAATCTTGTCCTCGATCTCGAAAGTACACCATATTCAATGGGTTCTAATTCAACCTCATTCTGGTTGAAGGAATTCAATAGTTACAAGCAGTATTTTGTAGAAGATAATGACCGGTGAGAATCAAATATAAGTATTTTCTGCATGTTCTGGGGTTTTTTTTCGTACAGGAGTGGAATGGCTCGCTACTCGTTAAGGCATAGGTAAGCCTGCATTCATTCTTTGCGGCAGCGTCCAGCAGCGACCAGCAGCATCCACCAGCGACCACTAGCGTTCCGAGCGTCCGGCACCGCCAGCGACAAGGAAAGTATCGCTCTAGACCAGCAGCGTCGACCAGTGTCCACCAGCGACCAACAGTGTCCTTGAGTGGAGAGTACGGAGATAGCAGACAGTGCTACTGCTATACAGGGGGGGGGGGCAAAAAAAGTCACTTTTCTTCATTGACATTCGAGGCGCTATAAGTTTACAACTTATTAAATTCTGATCGGACATTTTTACCACCATATTAAAGAGCATATCAAATACTATCACGACACTCCGCCACAGCCTTCTGGACGAGCGCCATCGAGAGATTCTGGCACGCGACCGCGATGTGGTGCCTTGAGTCAGCGAGAATAGCGATTTCTAGTTCTCCGCACACCGAATAGACCACCCTATTGGAACGTCGCCCGAACCGAGCAGGATTGAGGGGATTTAGGTCAGGTGACCTACTTGGATATTCCATCTTTTTTAAGGTACTCAGCCCCCTTTCCATTTCGAGTAGGCGAGTGTTTCTCCAACGCCCTTCGATTTCCATGTGGTGGC